AGAAACAACAAAAATACGATGGTCACTTTAATCTCTGTTTCTCTAGGTGACGAGAGGTCAATCAGACCGAGAGAGAAAAAAGTGTATCCTTGCAGCTTCACTGACAGAAGTGTCACAACATATCTTTGGATCGGCGAAAAATAAATGACGTTACTGGACACTTTGTAGGTGTAGAAAAGAAGCTGGAAGGAAATGTGTGCGTTATTACCCGAGTATGTGTATACCTCGTGCTTGTCATGACCTAAGAAATATAGGTTAAATACAATATTCAAGTAAATACAAATATACTGATAACATAACAACAGCCTGCGATGAATGTTAACTTTATTCGGGCGCTTACCATTCCCCCCCCCAAAAAAAAAGTTGCTACAACAATGAGATTATATGTCTCGATGTTTAGCTTTACTTTCGTTGGATCCGAGGTTCAAATCCCGTTACCGCCAAACAAAAAATCGTGCTCCAGACTTAAAATCGCGGGTGCGTTATATTAGTTTTGAATTTCGCGCAAAGCTACACGAGGGCTATCTGCGCTAGCTGTCCCTAATTTAGCAGTGAAAGACTAGAAGGAAGGCAGCTAGTCATCACCACCCACCGTCAACTCTTGGGCTACTCTTTTTAACAACGAATAGTGGGATTAACCGTCAAACTGTGTAAATTTACGCTAAAAACAACCCCAACTTGCGCATTACCATAGCAGCTTAGTTTGTCTGTTTGTTGTTCAGCGCAAAGCTATACAACGGGCTATCGAAACCCGATGTTTAGCGTCGTAAGCCGGCAGACTTGCCACTGAGAGGCAGCAGTTTATTCGCACTCAGTTTCAGCCCATTAATTTCGATTTTTGAAAACCGATTTAATAATTTAAGAATAAAAGCTGAACACAGTATCATAAGTGTATTGATTTTTTGTTATGTTCCCTCTGTATCTATTCGTTAGCTCTTGTAGTGGGTTATACAATTATTAAGCGTATGTTATAACTCATGTCTTCAACGTAGGCAGCAAAATGCTTGTCAAAAGTCTGTGATATAGTCGTAGCACCCAAAGAGAAAGATGGTCCTTGTCAAGCAAACGAGAATGAATATTTCCCGAAATGGCGGGGCCTTACCCAGGAGTTAATTTAATCGAGAGTTTCTTTAAGCGCGAGATGTCGGTAAATCTATTTGATGGGGCGAAAAACTAAAGCTTTAAAACACTCCTATTGACAACTTACGCCCACACTTGTGCCACCTACCGTTTGAAAGTTTCTTGAAATTCTCGGCAGTACGTGCGCATGGTACAGACACACACAAACGGAAATTACATTGAAACACTTTTTTGTTTAATTGTTCTGTTTTCTTCTTAACTTAAAAAAAGTAGTTATTTTGCAGTTCCATAGTAAAAGCAATAAAAAAATATTAAAACATATTAAACCATTTCTGAATAACACTGCACTAATGTAAAAAAATTAACCAATCAGAAGCGTGCAAATATTATTCCGCCATCTCTGGACATTGTGTCTAAAATACAGTTTTATAAAAAAAAAAAAAAAAAATGCCGATATTTTAAAAAATAAAACCTTATGTTTTTTTTATATAAAATTTGATATTCTGAAATTGGTGACATAAAACCCCCACCCCACCCTCCAATGGCTCAGAGGTAAGTACCAAGTCTTACGATACTAAAAATCGGGTTTCGATACTCGTGGCGGGCATAGCATAGATAGCCCATTTTGTAGTTTTGTGCCTAACAACAATAACAAAAACCAAAGTTGATATAATCCAATAGTGGCTCTTCGATACGCTAAAAATTAAAAATATATCTGACCGTATGAACACATTTTTCAACTGAGTATTTAATTAATGACGCGTGTTTTTATATTAATCACGAAATGAATGTACATATTTTGTGTCAATTTGAAATTTCTCAAAGCGAGTTATTTCACCACAGCTCTGTTTTGGGATATGTGAAAAAAAAACAACAACAACTAAGTATTTAAATACAGTAAAACGAGATTAACAATCAGTAAGTTAGAAAAAGATCGTTTCGCCGTTTCTTGAAACGATAGCTACAAAGTAACTACATAACATGTTAAGTTTTGTTATATTCCCAGCTCCTCTAATCCACCGAATTATGGAGGACCCGACTTGAAACTTACTCTACAATCAATCCCCTCCCCCCTAGGAGTAAGCTTCCTCTGACGATAAACGATGACTGTGGGTTATTGATTAGATCATAACGTTGTTCTCAGCCCGGTCATCCCAGGGAGTCGGGTTTGTTTCGCGGAACGAGGCGCACGCTACCTGTCAATGCTGTATACGAGACTCAACACAAAGACTTGGTCCCCAGCAGTAACATAGTTGTAGATGTGTTTAACAACTCGCACTTGTCCTTTTTGTGTGTGTGTGGCTTAGAGAAGAATATAAGAATTAGTTTTCTGAACTTTCACCACAGAAATGATAGTCGAGACGCATAATGAGTTTCAAAAAAATATATAATTTTTTTAATGGAGCAAACATATTCGGATGCAGTCATTACAAAATGGTAGCAGAGGCCAACTGGATTCTTGGTTATACTGGATCCTGTTCATTTCCCACTTCGAAGTAATTCTGTTCATCCTATGGTCTCTCTGATGCGAAGTGACGAATCCAGCGACGATGATGTGTGAACACCAACCACTGGACTTACAAGTTATTTAGTACAAGTGCAGTCTGTACCAATGTTTCATCTCTGTAAATGATGTTGACCGGCTCTACTGCGAACACAACAATGTTCTTAGCTGCTACTACCGTACCTGAAGTTTCCCAGCACGATGTGGAAAGATTTAGCATTCTTTTGCCTAAACCTACAGGTGAGCCCTGTACGTTGACTTCATGTTATATACATTACTTTTCTGTTGTTAAACAACTTCAGTATTCCGGTGCACCTCATGCGTTTCGGTAAAATCATGTTATGAAATAACCCGTTAAGCCTAAGATTAACCACAGTTCATTTATCCTGCGTTTCAGTTCAATCATGTTATGAAATAACCCGTTAAACCTAACATGAACCACGGTTCATTTATCCTGCGTTTCAGTTCAATCATGTTATGAAATAACCCGTTAAACCTAAGATTAACCACAGTTCATTTATCCTGAGTTTCAGTTCAATCATGTTATGATACAACCCGTTAAACCTAAGCTTCACTAAACATACTGGTGAATTCCACAATTTTTATTTCTTTCGGTCTGTAAGCCTAACTGTTCACAAAACATGGTCGTTTTGTCTTACGTTGCTTTCGACCAGGATGAATATTGTATTTGTTTGTTTGTTTTGAATTTCGCGCAATGCTACACGAGGACTATCTGCGCCAGTCGTCCCTAATGTAGCAGTGTAAGGCTGCTAATCATCACCACCCACCGCCAACTCTTGAGCTACTCTTTTACCAACGAATAGTGGGATTGACCGTCACATCATAGCGCCCCCACGACAGAAAGGGCGAGCATGTTTGGTGGGACGGGGATTCGAACCCGCGACCCACAGATTGCGAGTCGAGCGCCCTAACCACCTGGTCATGCTGGGCCTGAATATTGTAAGCATTGTTGTGTTTTTTTCCCAGTTTGATATATAACAAAACATCGTGTTACACGTAAATTTAAAAACTGCAACCATCACAAGACTCAGAGATTTGACTCAAAGTTAAGTTAACACCATCTTGACACTTCCATGACCCTATTTTTTTTTTAAGCGTCCAAATAACCACTCATTCTTCTATGGGCGGGGGGCGGAGGGGGAGCATTTATGAATATTGCGATAATCTATTCATACATTTATTTGAATTTTTTTTAATAAAGTTTTTTGTTTTGTTTTTATATTTCAAAGGACCTTCATAAGGATATTTGCCTCAGGGCATCCACATACCGGCCCTGGTATACTGTATTGTACAAGGGATCT